CCCCCCCACACACACACACACAAGTAAATTTTCCTGCCTCATCAGTTGGTCCAGTGAGCACAACAGATGGCTCCTTTTTTTCACACATTACCTTCTACCTGTGTTTTATGGTGTTGGTTAAATCCTGTGTTTCGGATTGGTGTGAAACCTTTCAGTCAGCAATAAAAAAACTTTTGAACATGGCATACAGTTGTGTGGGGTGAACAGAAATGTAACTCCTGAGAACCTTGCTCTATGTGAAATCACTTAATGTGAATGAATTTTCTGATACTGATAGTATTGACTTACTCAAATTCTTTGAACCAATTCCTGTATTAGTCTCTCTACTGAATAAATAACAAACGTAAACAAATGTTTGTGTTGATACAACTTCAAATACAAAAAGACATTCTGGTCACTCTGCTATGGAAAGTGGATGCTGTACACTTTCGTCCTTTTCCCCAGAATATTTTTCCATCTCTGAAGGCTGCTAATCTGTGAACAGACCAAATTTTGCACTGTGTGTGTATTGGGGGGGGGTGTTGTTGTTGTTGTTTTTTGTAGTTTTTGTTGTTGTTGGGTTTTTTTGGGGGGATGGGGGGAGCTGTTCTTTTTTAATATGAAGGTGTTTTACATTCCAAACTACACATTAGGAGGCAAGCTTCAACCCTCTTCCTATCTGTGTGTGTTTTCCCAACAGCTCGAATATGAATATATGCATAAAACCCTGATCACAAAAACTTCAGGAGACCAAAGAATTTCAAAATGTTACTTAAGCAGATTCCCAAGTTGCAATGCCTAGAATAAAGATGAAAGAAAAACGGAGATTTTACATTTTTTCATGCTAACAGAATTTTGTGTCCTTTTATTGTTCCTCTTGGGGAAATTTTGGGTTACATTGGCAGGTACAATGGATACATAGAATAATTTTGTAGTTTCACTAATGTCACTTAATACATGATGTTAGATCATTACCAGTTCTGACAATTGTGCAAATATGATGTTTCTGGTCACAACTCTGCAATGTCCTTTTTGAGTTTGAGCTAAGGCCACGCCTGTGTCTTGCTCAGTGACATACCCCAGTGACTACCTAACGAAATACATGTATTGAGTCACCAATATTACTTGAAATTATTTGTGAGCCTAATCTCACTAGCCTCTGTAGCCAAGCCGCTGCGTTACAAATAGACTATATGGTCAACCAGCTGTTGGATTTGAGTGCAAGCACGCGCACACATACACACGCACGCACACACACACACACACACACACACACACACACACACACACACACACACACATACACATTGGTGGTGTAAGTTTGAAGATGGTAAGCTGAAACATAAGATGTACTCATAGAGGTAGCGCTGCCCAGGTCATGCTAACTCATATATCCATCATATCATCATCTGTCTCTCTTCTTTCCCTCACACTCACACCCTATCAGCATTTTACTTAGTGTATCCTTGGTCCTATTGGTTTGATGAATTATGGGTAGGTATACACTCTCTCATCTCAGTGGGTGAGTGCCAAAATTAGAGTCCCACACTGCAATGAGTTTGTAAAACACTTTTTTTTTCCCAGTTTTTATTTTATTTTCTATATTGCTATTTTCACTCTTTGTGTATATGACACTTGTACTGAAATATTTCGCTGAAATTTGAAGTAGTCAGAGTACATACGTATAAAGCAACTGATAGCACCCCGTCTGCTGTCATTTTTAACACCATGTTTAGGATGTAGATGTCAAATACATGTTTGTTGAAAGAAGTTCAAGTGGAGATAAAGCGTTTTAACAAAAAGCACAGCCGCACAAATTTTGAAGATCACTGAGTGATACTTACTCTTCTTAGCAATCATCATGTGGGGTTGTATTTCTTTATGTTGAACGCATGACTTCTCTCTGGTTATCAAGTCATTGTTAATTGTTTTTTCACTGCAGGATATCAGATAACTCTGTTTTATAGGCTTCCTTTTCTGAGATTACAATCTATGATGGCAGAATGAAACTGAAACCAGAGGTTAGCTTCATCCCTTGGATCTATTTCTTTTGATGTTTCCATTGCTCGGTGGAAGAAGTAAAAAATTACTGCTATACACTTCCCTTTCAATGCCTAAATGCCTAATTAATGCTGCCGCACGCAATGATTTAATTGTCAAGCATGGCATAGCAAGTACTTTTTTTTGTTGAAGAAGACATAGTGTTTGAACTTAGTGGCTATTTTAACATGTAATTCTCTCGTCTTGTCAACAGCTTTTGGTTCTTGCTGGAGATGTTTCCAAACTTCTGAGGACCACGGTCGTGCAGTTACGTCAAAAAGATGATGACACTTATGGTGAATATCGTAAACAATGTGTATCTTGTATCATAGTGGATGAGTTAAATCAACACAGACTACTTGTAGTTTTAATGTTATTTTGGTTTGGAACTGATACTGGGAAAGAAAAACTACTATTATCCTATCATTTTTCTCTCATTAAGAATTGCAATACATATACATGAAGGTCATTACTATTGTCTTCATGAGAGTTTTTTCAACTCAAGAAAATGGTATCCCCAAAAAAGTAATACTCCAAAGTAATTATCTCAACCCTGCTTCCGCAAAAATGTCTCTTTAAATGTATTGTCTTCGGGTTTTTTCACAAACATCACCAAAACATTGACACAGATTAGATCTAGATCTTTTTCGACTTGAAATATATTTTAATTGAGGATTGTTCCAAGGATTTTTTGTGTGATCAATATTAATAATAATAATAATAATAATAATAATAATAATGAAGATCATTTCTATAGCGCCCACTCCCGTGTAAACACAGCTCTCGGCGGTTTACATAAATGCATGTACGAACAATATTCACGCACGCCACACACACACACACACACACACATAAACACACACTCACACACACACACATTACACGCACACATGTGCACACTTGTGTGCACACACACACACACGCAAACAAACACACACATCTACTTGCTTATCACACGCACACGCTTACACATCGTTACGAAATGAGCACATACAAATGCATATAATAAAATAATATACACAATGCAATTCGCAAAATACATAAATGGATACATAGTCTTTTACATGACATTGTACTGAACATGAATCTACTAACATAAAAATGATGTCATTAAATGTGTCTTTAAAGATATTTTAAATATTTAGACTCAGATGCTGTATGTCTCAAGGGTTGGGGAAGAGAGTTCCAAACTGGTGGAGCAATTGGTGGGCAAACGATCTTTCAGCTAATTTCTTACCTCCTTTTCTAGGAATTCTTTAAAGATACTGATCGCCTGATTTTAATGATCTAGATGGAGCATAAATCTGGATGAGATCACTAAAATGTAAGAGAATTTTGTCATTGACACATTTATGACATAATATTGCAATTTAATATGACATTCTAGCTGACACGAGAAACCAATGTAACGCTCTTAACATGGGAGTAAGGTGATCCTTCTTCTTTTTCTTTAGTACAAGCCTAGCAGCATGATTTTGTAAATGTTGTAACTTGTGAAGAGTGGAATTTGGTAAGTTAGCTTGTAAAGCATTGCAATAATCAATGCTCGAAAACAAGAAAGATGACATGAGTGTTTTCAATGAGTGTTCTTTAAAAAAAATAGACATATGACCAATTCTATGAAATTAACAAAATAAAATGGTACATAAATAATTGATATGATGATATGATGTTCCACTGACAATTTTGAATCATAGTACACTCCCCGATTTTTTGCCATACCAGTAAAATACGTAGTTTTTCGTTTTCAGTACAGACATAATCAATGCCTATGGGGATATGGCTTTTCTTTGGGTTACATAAAAGAATAACAGTTTTATTTTCATTAAGCTGGAGTTTATAATACAGTCGAACCTGTGTAAGACGGCCACCCATTGTCAAGGAGAAAAGTGGCCCTATAAGACAGGTGGCCGTCTTAGGCAGGACTGATCAAGATGAAGAAAAAACATTCCTTTCTGAGGTCCCACCCGAAGGTAGCCGCATTGTTGTCGTTCTTGTTTTTGTTGTTGTTTTCGCTGGGGGGGGGGGGTTCTCTTTTTTTCTTTTGTTGCTGCTTTTGTGCAAGGGTGACAATGACAATAAAACGAAATGTGTGAGACAAGGAGGACCGAGTTCTATACTATGGTAAAACAAACACACGCGTCGCTACCATTCGGAGAAAGAGTGACGCTTCTGTCATAAGCTCAGGTTGACGTCCATTGTTACTTTGTTACAGACTGGGTAAACAGTGACCACTCATCTCACTTACGATTTGTGTACGAGTTCTGGGCGGGGCTTATGGGTTATGAGGGATCACACGCTAACCTCACCAGCAGCTGAAAATTAATATTGTTACTTATTGGTAAACAGTGGGAGGGGCCTACGCAACATGATCGGTTGGAGGGACTACCTAACAACAACGACTGGTGATTGAATTATGACAGCTCGCCCACAACGCCAGGGGCCAATGCACAATTTATGACAAAACTTAATGGAGTCACTAAGGTGGCCATCTAAGACAGGTGTTATTGCTCAGTGTGATAGGGGTTGTATGTTAAAATATGGTGGCCATCTAAGACAGGTGTTATTGCTCAGTGTGATAGGGGTTGTGTGTTAAAATATGGTGGCCATCTAAGACAGGTGTTATTGCTCAGTGTGATAGGGGTTGTATGTTAAAATATGGTGGCCATCTAAGACAGGTGTTATTGCTCAGTGTGATAGGGGTTGTGTGTTAAAATATGGTGGCCGCGGCCGCGTTGGACAGGTGCCCGTTTTACACAGTTAAATTATATAGAAAAAACGCAAGGGGGGAAATGGAAAGTGGCCGTTTGTACAGGTGGCCGTCTTATAGAGGTGGCCGTCAGGGCAGGTTCGACTGTAGTTAGTTAAATAAGTTTTCTGAATTGTGCATGAAACTTTTTTTTCCCCTCAAAAGGCTTTCAAATGTTTGCATTTTTCAAATATATAGATTCTAGATCTATGACATGCAGTAATGCTTCTTCCATCTTAGTCCAAACACAGCCAGCTAACTTACTTTGTCATAGATAACATAGCAGGGAGAGGAGCTTTTGTAATCTCTGTAAATCTCGTACGTCGTTTAATATGAATGGAATTGCTCTTTTTCTTCAGAGCTAAGAGTCACTAAAGATACAGAGATGCGAGAGAACACACTGTTTGATGAAGCTGCGCAAATACCTCCAAAGCCTCGCAGAAAAAAATGCTCCGATGCCCAGGACTCTTCAAAAACGTGAATGAAAAGGATTATTATTGGACTCCTGTTTTGTTTGTAGTGAGGATAATATTTATGAGTGAATCTACATTCTGTGAATTTCACCTTTACGTTCTCAAAGGAATTAAATGATTGTGGGATATGACGATGCCATAAGCTTATTTGAAATACAGTGGGAAATTCAGAAGATGAATTTTGTGGCCGAATTTACGTAGTTTTTTGTAAGATTTTTTTACGCCCTTGATCTGTGTAGCAGATGGAAGAGATGTCATTTCTGTGTGTTAATTACATGTTATGGGCACTGAGAAAACCGTTTAGATATTGTCAAAAGCAATTTTGAGATATCGATTGGAAGTGAACCTAAGGCTCTATTTCTGTTGCAAAGAAAGTTTTGTGAAATTTGGAAAGATAAACCATTTCTGGATCTTCATTTAAAGGGATTTTTCAAGAATAACCCTAAACCTTTTTTTTTACACATTATTTTGATGACATCATCTTCAAAGCCTTTCTCACCCTACATCAAAGTATAGGCCACGAACGAACACTTTCCACCTTTTCCTGTCCTTTTCTAGCCTCTTTATGTTTTTTCTTAATATGACATACAACGGGGGAGGGAGGGTTTATAATTTGAAAAATAATTATTCATGTGGAGGAACATTAACTTTTTTGGGCACCCACTATTGTATAGTATCAAATGAAAAAGATCTTTCTCACCTTTCCTGAGAAATCCATTTGATTGTGCCTGAATAATGCAACCTGAAACAGACGGAAGGACTGTGGGTATTTTATTTCATTCCTTTTGATTTGGGAAAATTACAAACACCACTTTCTGAAATGGGTTTCTTCAAAGCCTCTCACCTTTGTCAAGCAAGTTTTAGGGGGAGTTTTTGTACTGTTGTTGGGGGTGGCATAAGGGTTGTTCATTTGTCGGAGTGTGTCTTTTTACCTTGATGTGTGTTTGAACTGAATGCAGTGAAAGTGAAAGAAAGGGCATGTTGCAAAACTCGCCAATAGAAATCGTAAGTGAGAAAATATTTATTTTCTTTTTATTTATGTGCTTTTCAATGTTCAGTCATATACATTAGGTTTATTTCGTTGGATGAATAGAGAGTGCATGGATGTGACACTCAGAATGACTTGCAATAAAAATAAAAATACTTGACTGTGTTGTGTTATAAACTTCTTATTCATAGAGCCTTTATAAAGAGATTATTTCTATGCAACAAGATTTGTTGAGTTATCATTAGCAGTCAGTCTGAGAGGGATATGTTCTTAAGTAACCTTCAGCACAATTTGGATGAGTTGAGACCAATCAAGTCCCAACACAGCTGTGAGGTATAGTAGATCCCAACAGAAAGACGAAGATACTTGATTAAATATCTTCCTCATGTTGGAATCAAAAGAAGGAGCCTAATCATGCCACCACAGATATTTGTAGTCATAGGTAAGATAAGAGCAAAGGATGTGTGACTACAAAGAAATTACACTACTACTTTATTGTTCTTGTTATAAAGGAGAAGTAGTCCATGCAAATGAACAGCTCTTGAAGTTCCCAGTTGTGTGTAAGAATGATACTTTGCTTAAAGTCCATTTGAGTCCTTAACAGACAAACATGGAAATGGCATTTGAAGTTTGAACAATACGTTCATCATCATCATCATCATTGCCTTTCTCACCCTGGATCAGGGTAAAGGCCACAAAAAAACACTTTCCACCTTTCCTCATCCTGGGCAAGCCTTTTGCTGTTATTTTTTGTCTTCCCACTTGGCTGTATGTCAACTTCTGTGGCTCTTCTCGTGGTACCACTTGGTCTTCCCCTTGATCTTTTACCCTGTGAGTTCCAATCCAGCTTTTTCCTTGTTCTGCAGCTGCCGGACTTCCTGAGAGTGTGTCCAGCACATCGCCACAGACTTTGTCCCTCCTCATATCTGACTGGGCTCTCTCTTGTTCTCCTTTAACACTTCCTCGTTGGTGATCCTGTCTGTCCATCTGATCCTCAGTAACTTCCTTAGACACTAACTTGTTCAAGAAAACCTGGATCCTCTTTATGCAAGTCTGTGATGTGTTCCACGTCTCGCGTCCATACCACAAGACCAACTTTCCATTGGAATTGAACATTATCTGCTTTGTCTGTAGTGAGATATCCCTGGTTCTTCAAATCCTATTCAAAGATATGAAAGCAGTTGTGCCTTTCCGATGAGTGGGATTTTATTTCAGCACCTGTTCCTCCCTCTCTGTCAGTTATACTCCCATGATAGCTGAAGGATTTGACGTCTTCTCATGCATTTCCTTCTATTGTGACCTGCTCCTTTCATTGTACATCTCTATCCTTGTGACCCATTAGTTTCTGGGGTGGATCCTCAATCCAACAGACTCTGATAGGCTGTTTGAAACTGGGGTCTTTGTTTGCATCTGCTGTTCCTGGGTATGCAATAGCAGCGCCAAGTCATCTGCAAAGTCCAGGTCGTCCAACTATGCCATTTTTGTGTCATCTGGTTGTTTCCTTCATCAGCCAATCGATCGCCAAGATGAAGTGGAAAGATGATAGTAAACATCCCTGTCCCATACCGGTCTTGATGCCGGAGCTGTCAGTGCGCTGGCCATCTTGTACAATCCTGCAACTTGTCCCTTCATGCTCTTGATGAGGTTCACCAACTTCTGTGAGATTCCGTGATGTCTCAGTATCTACCATAGTGTTGCTTGGTCTTCTTGTAGTCAAGGAAGTTGTCTATAAACCGAAAGATCCACTCCAGGGACAGTTCCACTATGATAGCAGTCTGGCCAGTGGTTGACTGTTTTTTTCGAAAACCAGCCTGTTCATCCCGAAGTCTTGGATCCGTTGCAGATTTGATTCTGGCCAGATTGATTTCTTTGGAAGACCTTACCTGGTATTGAGAGAAAAGTGATCCCTCTGTTGTTGCTGCAGTTGCTGAGATCCCCCTTTTTAGGAAGCTTTGTGGGTGTCCTTTCCATTCTTTTGGGAACTTGTGCTAAGTCCAGATCTTGGTAAACAGTGGGATAAAGGAGGTCTGCCTACACATTGGCATCTATTTTTAGGGCCTCGGGTGGAACCTGGTCAGGACTGGCCGCTTTACCTTTTTTCAGCTTCTTAATGGCATCCAGGATCTCTTGTTTTGAAGGAGCATTCCTCCCACAGGGCAGTGCTACGGACTGAAGTTGTCTTTGGGCCATTCCCAAAGGGGGATATTAAATGCTTATATGCGCAGTAGAATTACAAGAATTGTAAACGGGCTGATTTATCAGTGTCATGCTCATGCTGTGCCGGAACAGCATGGGGGAACTTCTGCTGTATGGATTTTAAATGGACACAAGCGAGAGTCGGAATCCTCTTTCGGTCGGGATAAAACTCTGGGTCACTTTTAGGAAGAATAATTATATTATAAATGACAAGTGCATGGTAATCAGTGGGTGTGCTGCTAACTGATTTGATTTTTCAAAGGACCCTGGTTTGAATCCCTTTTGGGGTATCTTTTTAGATCTATATCTTAATTTGGGTGTGTGTGTTGGGGGGGGGGTGTTCGATTTGTTTAGGAGTTCCTGGCTCTGTCCTCGGAGATGGATGCCAAATTCCTAGTATCTGCCTCCTAAATTATGATGCAGTGTTGAAAATGGACATTAAATCTATACCATATACCACGAGTACGTAAACAAACGCTTGTTTTGGGGGGCAACGAGTCGGGCGCGATCGGCTTGCGCAACGATTTTTTGGTCGCTACCCGGATTCGAACCCGGGACCTTTGAATGAGAGGCCAACACCTTAACCTCTAGGCCACGTGAGCCCCCAGGGAGCTCTGTTTGTGTTAGTCAGTGTGATTGTGTCTGTGTGTGTGCGTCTTTATGTGTATGTGTCAGTATCTGTTTGTGTATGTGTCTGTATCTGTGTGTGTGTGTGTGTGCGTCTGTGTGTGAGTGTGTGGCTGTGTGTGTGTGTGTGTGTGAGAGAGAGAGAGAGAGAGAGT